CTCCAACTCAAAAAAAAAAAAAAGTTTTATTAATGAAATAAACAAAGAATCTTAAAATGAAAATTCGACTTAGTTCTGACCTTACAACTCATGCTATTTAAGAAGGTAGCAGGGTCCATAGTTTCAACAAATCACTTGTTGCTTCTTTCCAAGATAATCATTGAGCTGACTGAGGACTGATTAAGACCAGTTACCACTCACCATTAGCCAATTTTAAACTTAATTTTAGTCATTTTTGTTTCCTCTTTCCTCTCTGTAATTTTTGGATGAGACTAAAAATACTACATATTTAAACAGTGGTATTTCCTGGAGTTTTGTTGTTGTTTCTACCCTAGAAATACCTGGTTTTGACTTGATGGCTTCTTATCAGTCCACCCTAGCTCCCCTTGGACTTTCTACAACCTCAGCCCACCTTTTTCTATCCCATATCTTTCAACAAAATCAGTTCCGTTTACACATATGTGAAGAGTGTTTAGGCCTAAACTCTTATCTTCTGTACAAAAAAGACTTAAGAGCATTTTATATGGATTTCACTAACATCAAGGGTCTTAATTATCCCCCCCCAACTTGTTTTTGAATTGGAGTTTCACTCTGTTGCCTAGGCTGGAATGTAGTGGCATGCTCACAGCTACCGCATGCTCACGGCTACCGCAGTCTCAACCTGCTGGGCTCAGACAATCCTTCTGCCTTAGCCTCCAAGCAGCTGGGACTGCAGGTATATGCCACCACACCCAGTGAATTTTTTGATTTATTGTAGAGACAAGATCTTGCCAAGTTGCCCAGACTGGTCTTGAACCTTGGGCTCAGGTAATTCTCTCAACTTGGCCTACCAAAGTGCTGGGATTACAGGCATGAGCCACAGCTCCTGGCACTTCTCTCCTTTTTTTAAACACACTCAGGAAATCTCTTTATTCCAAGAGTTACTTAATCTTAGAATAAAACGATGTCAATCTTCAGTGAATTTTTCTTAATGAATATATCGCATTTTTAAATTGTCAGTAGTCATATCTTTGTGATATGTTTTTTCTTTTTTCTTTCTTTCTTTTTTTTTTTTTGATGTGGGAATCTCATAAAATTAAGTTGCCCAGGCTGGAGTGCATTGGCATAGTCACAGCTCACCACAGTCTCAACCCCTTGGGCTCAGGTGACCCTTCCACCTCAGCCTCCCAAGTAGCTGGCCCTACAGGCATACACCACCATACCCAGCTATTTTTTAAATTTTTTTGTAGAGTCAAGGTCTCATTATGTTGCCTAGGCTGGTATCAAAATCCTGGACTCAAGCAATCCTCCCATCTTGGTCTCCCAAAATACCAGGGTTATAGATGTGAGCCACTGCACCTGGCCTGATATATTTTTTCAGCCAACCCCTATAATTTCATATCACACTTACTGCCGAATATTTCATATAACTGACTCATTATCGAACTACAAACCAATACATACACTATGGAGATCTGAGGCAATTATCCCAATGATGTAGGCCCTGAAGCACCTGTAGGGCTTGAGTTAGGAAGGTCTGTGTATGGGCCCATGTTTGTTACTGAATGCTTATTTGATATCTGGCAAGTTACATGACCTCTCTAGGCCTCTATTTTATTATCTTCAAGAATAAAACCTTGGAATAGTATTCAGGTAATCAACTGTTCTACAGCAATTCACCCCAAAATTATTTATTTCGCTCACAATTTTGTGAGTTAGGAACTTGGGAAGGGTTCAACCCAGAGGTGTTTGTTTGTTTTTTTTTTCTGATCCACATGGCATCAGGCGAGGTGCTGAGATATGAGAATCCACTTTCAAGATGGCTTCTTCACTGTCTGTTCCTTGTTGCTCTTTGGCGCCTCTCTCTCTACCTCCTTTCTTTGTACCTTCAGTTTCTCACATTATGGTTTCCTGAGATAAGTGTGCTGCAGCCTGGGTGAGACTTTGACTCGGAAAAATAACACAAACAAAAAGAGAAGTGTTTATATATACACACACACACAAACATACATATGTGTGTGTGTGTGTGTGTGTGTGTGTGTATACGTATATATATATATATTTTTTTTTTCCCCCTTTTTAATGTGGTAGCTAGCTTCCAAGAAGCAAAAGATTCTGGACCAGTTAAGGGCTATACCCTAGTCAAAGCTGGAGAGACAGAATCCACCTCCTGTGAGGGAATGGCAAAGTCATATTGCAGATGAGCATGTGGGATGTGCTCATAAATGGTGAACTGGCTTTCTGGGGAAAATATTGCATACAAATGTATATGGTCATTAGTGAATTATACTTTTTATTAATGTAAAAGATGTCCATGACTGGGCACAGTGGCTCACGCCTATAATACCAGCACTTTAGGAGGCCACACCAGGAAGATTGCTTGAGCCCAGGATTTGAGACCAGCCTGGGCAACGTAGTGAGACCTCATCTCTACAAAAAATAAAAAAATGAGCCAGGTGTGGTGGCATATGCCTATAGTCCCAGCTACTCAGGAAGTTGAGGTGAAAGGATCGCCTGAGCCCAGAAGGTCAAGGCTGCGATAAGCCATGATTGTGCCACTGCACACCAACCTGAGCTACAGAGTGAGACCTCGACTCAAAAAAAAAAAAAACCAAACAAACAAGCAAATGAAATGTAGCACACAATCTACAAATTGTATTGTTTTATAAATTTCATCTCAATTGGTTCTCACAGAATGCTTTCATTGATTTTTTTTCATATACTTGGATCAGTAGCAAATAAGGACTTTCTTATTTATGTTTGGGTCACCTTCAGAGATACTATCTTTTTTCATTCCAGTAAACTTGCCATATATAAACATGAAAGAATTGTTAGTCGCAATCACAAACTAAAAATATTTGTTTTGCAAAAGCCTCATAATAATGACATTTTATCGATGATTTTACAGTGTATAAGAACTTTCATATACTTTCTTGATTGAATCTCATGACATTATGAAGAGTCTCCTCCCCATTTTCCAGATGGGAAAACTGAGATTTGGAGCACAGTGACTCACTGAGGGTCACACTGCAGTTGAGGACATAGCCAAGACTAGACCCCATGTCTTCTGACTTCAAGCGTACAGATTTTCACTTCCTCTGCAGAAACTACATTTGGAGAAGAAATTTTAAGCGAACATGCAAGCAAGATTCTCTACTACTATTCAAATTAAAATATCTCCTTTTTTTGTTTGTTTGTTTGTTTTTTGAGTCAGAGTCTCACTCTGTTGCCCAGGCTGGAGTGCAGTGGCACACTCACGGCCACCCCAGCGTTGACCTTCTGAGCTCCAGCAATCCTTCTGCCTCAGCCTTCCAAGTAGCCAGAATTACAGGCTGTGTGCTACCATGCCTGGCTCATTTTATTTTATGTATTGTAGAGACAAGTTCTCACCAAGTTGCCCAGGCTGGTCTCCAACCCGTGGCCTCAGGCAATCCACTCGCCTTGGCCTCCCAAAGTGCTGAGATTACAGGCTGAGCCACCGAGCCCAGCCAAAATACCTCCTTTTAAAGAAGAATTTTTTATCGATGTTCATTAGTGAATGGTAAAGAGCATCTTCATTGTCTCACCTGCTGGTTCTAGTTATCAACTTTTATAGTCAGCAAAAGTGTCCTCACTGTTGAACTGACTTGCGAGACAGGCTGGACAGCCATGTCCCTGGGATCCCAGATCCCAAACATTTCTCTCCTTGCTTCTTCTCTTCCAGAAGTCAGTATCAAGAATTATTGCCACAGTTCCCAGTCACTGGTTTCCCATACAAACTACAGGGGCTGAGGAATATATTTGGGAAAAGAGACAAATTGTGATAATAGAACTTAGATCTAACACCTTTCAGGTTTTGGAGTAAAAGCTTGTGTGTTGCAGAGTGATGATTAGTGATGAGAGAAGCCTCAGGGCTTTCTTCGGCCTCTCCCTTTTCTAAAATTTATTATTTTCCAACCACAATGTAGATTTCATCTCCCAGTGAATTCATTCTCTGTTGTTTGTACTGTCATTCTTTGTTTTGGCTGAAGAGTCCATTTTGCCTACAAGTTACAAGGGTGTGCCTTTTTTTATTAGCACCATTTTTTAAAACACGAGTAAAACATTCTTTGTAGAAAAGTCAGGAAATAAAAATAAGCAAAAAAATTAAAAGCAAAAACCATTCTGCCATTATTTGTTAGCAGATAACTAGTGTTAACTTGATCATCTTGGCTTTTCAGTCTAGTGGCATAAGCATCTCTTTGAATGCCAGAACTTACATAGCATGGATTATGTGTTCTTTAAGTGGTAATGCTTCTATTTGATATTTTCTTTGAGTAACTTTAAGCACTGTGCTGAAATTTCAACTTATCTAAACTGTAAATATTTAAAATATGTATTGGCTGTCTGCAGTGGCTCACGCCAATAATCCCTACGCTTTGGGAGGCCAAAATGAGAAGATCGCTGGAGCCCAGGGATTCAGGACCAGCCTCACCAACATAATATGACCTCATCTCTACAAAAAATATAAAAATTAGTCAGACATGGTGGCGCACGCCTGTAATCCTAGCTACTCTGGAGGCTGACGTGGAAGAATCACTTGAGCCCAGGAGATTGAGGCTGCAGCGAGCCATGATATTTAGCGGCTTGTCAAAGTGGTGTTATTGTGGGTGGTATTAAATGCAGAACTTTCATAGGAAAATTATATTGTTTCTCAGAAAATCTCATGACCCGCTCTTTCCTTGTGCTCATCGAGGATGAGAGATATCCTGTGTGACCCATAGACCAGGTCCAAGGATGAATTTAGCAAAGTTCCCCTTCCTCTCTCCCTTGTCAAGGGCACTTGAAGAGTCTTTCTTCTATCCTGGTTTTAGTTTGGCTGGAGTATGACATATTTGTTTTATTTATTATCCCTTTCCCTGGTAGAAATTAGGAATCCTTTTCTCTCTCCATTTCTCTAAAAAAAAAAAACAACCTAAAAAAAACTGCTTCATTGGTGCTGTGTATACTGGGGAAATATGTGACCTAAATAACAATTCTATTTATCTATTTTTTCTCCTTAGGCAGCAATAAGGAAAGAACTCAATGAATTTAAAAGCACAGAAATGGAAGTTCATGAAGAGAGTCGACAGTTTACAAGGTAAGTCAACAAAATGCAGTTCAGCGTGTTGAAAATGCTTCAGGTGGTAAATTTTATTTAGGCGTTTTTAAATTTTGTTTAGATGTATTTTATCACAATTGAAAAAAGCTTTAAATACAGTTTAGGACAAAGCCATCTTAGGAACATTTCTGCCTCCTCCCATTCATCTTTGTTTTACTGATAACCTAACAGTTAATGTGACAGTTTTAAAGATATGACTAGATAAGATTATACATTTCTAGAATTTAAAAATAACCTCAACTGTCTCTTTTAAAAGCACTATGATTAATCATGCTGAATAAGAATTTCTTTTTTCTTTTTTTTTTTTTTTTTTGAGTCAGAGTCTCACTCTGTCACCCAGGCTGGAGTGCAGTGGCACAATCATGACACCTCACAGCAGCCTCAACATCCTGGGCTCAGGCGATCCTTCCACCTCAGCCTCCTAAGTAGCTGGGCCTACAAGCATGTGCCACCACTCCTGGCATTTTTTTTTTTTTTCTTTTTTATAGAGATGAGGTCTCACTATGTTGTCCAGGTCTTGAACGCCTGGCCTCAAACAATTCTCCCACCTTGGCCTCCCAAATTGCTGAGGTTGTAGATGTGAGCCATCGTACCCAGCAGGCATTTCTAAGTCTTTTTAGAAGTCTGAATCATTTTAAAGGGCTAGATTTTGGTTCCTTTCTTAGTTTTATTTTCTGGGCTGGAAGACAAGTACAGCATCATTTATTCTGCTCTTGAACAGACTCAGCTGAAGTTGTATGCCCAGAATAGATACTGGCGAGAGAATGTGGGCACATATGTGCCACTTTGGGCTCATAGTAGACATAATAGGATAGAAGCTGACTTTTCAGAAGATATAACTTAAAATGGGAATTCAGTTTTTACTGGTCTCACAGGAGGTTGCTATCATCCTATCATTTTTCCTTCCAGCACCCTTTAGTTTTTTTCACAGGCTATCAACACCAGACTGTCCCTGAGTGAGCACACAGTCTGACCCCTGCGCTTCACAGGCATTCTGTTTATTTCAATCTTAATTAGTTTATGTGCTTTGCTCTATATAACAGGTGTGTTTCTAAAAATTTGCACACAAATTAAATCTTCAAACATTGAACTAAGAAAAAAATTACTAGGAAAGATAATTACATGAAGAAGATCAGGGTAGGTCCTTCTGGAAAACAAATACTGGTCCCCTAAGCTAGTCTCTGTAGGGTAGCCATGCCTCTGGTGCTACTGTTCTTGCAGTCCAGATGATGATGTTGCTCTTTGCTGGGAGCATGTAACAGGGTAAAGGAAGCAGCACTATAACCTTGTAATTGAACAGCAAACCCCTTCCTTGAAATTCAGGGGGGCTGGGCCTGTGTTATCACAGACTTGCTCCACAACTTCTCCTCCTATGTTAATGTCTGATGCAGAAGAACCTTCTCTTTATTTTAGGGAGACACTCGGTCCTCCGTATCCATGGGTTCCACATCAACATCATTTATTCTGCTTTTGAAAGGAAGATCCCAGCCGGGCTCGGTGGCTCAGCCTGTAATCCCGCACTTTGGGAGGCTGAGGTGAGTGGATTGCCTGAGCCCGCGGGTTCGAGACCCGCCTGGGCAGCGAGACCTCATCTCTACAATAAATCAAAAAATCAGCCGGGCATGGTAGCGCATGCCTGTAATTCTGGCTACTCGGAAGGCTGAGGTGGAAGGATTGCCAGAGCCCAGCAGGTCGAGGCTGCGGTGGCCGGGAGCCGCCCCTGCACTCCAGTCTGGGCGACGGAGTGAGACTCCAACTCAAAAAAAAAAAAAAAGAAAAAAGAAAGGAAGATCCCTTGAAAGGGATTAGGGAAAATTAACGCTACAGTATAACACCTGTAGTTTCCCTTCTCCAGTAAAGTTGATCATACAAAGGCTGGATATTTTTGGTCACATCGAGCTGGCTGAACCCTCTGTGTAATTGGGACGTAGCTGAAGTTGGATGCCCAGGATAGACGCTTGTGAGAGAGTATGACACATGTGCTACTGCGGGCTCACACTTGATCTAACAGCATCAACCACACTCCAAAAATTTTTTTTTTTGAGTTGGAGTCTCACTCCATTGCCTAGGCTGGACTGCAGTGACACACTCAGGCCCCCCAGCGTCAGCCTGCTGGGCTCCAGTAATCCTTCCGCCTCAACCTTCAAAGTAGCTGAAACTACAGGTGTGCATTACCATGCCCAGCTTTTTTTTTTTTTTTTTTTTTTTAATTATAGAGATGAGGTCTTGCCAAGTTGCCGGGGCTGATGTCAAACCTGCAGGCTCAATCCACTTGCTTCAGCCTCCCAAAGTGCTGGGATTATAGGCTGCGCCACCAAGCCCGGCCAAAATTTTTTTTAATAAATAAAAAATAACAATAAAAATGGTATCTATCAAAAACAATGCAGTGTAACAGCTATTTACATAGCATTCACACTGTTATTAGGTATTACAATAATGTAGAGAGGATTTAAGGTATATAGATGTGTTTTAGTTCTAGGCAAATACTGCGTTATTGTATGTTTGTTTCCTCCTCCATAATGTTTGTTTGTATATGCAGGTAGGACTTTCCAGCATCTTGAATGTATAGGCTTGCTGTCTGTTTGAGAGCTTTATTCTAGCATAATCTACCCTTAGGTCGATGCCATGCCCATATCAAGCCTGAATTGCTTGTCCCCCAGTTTTCTCCCTTCCACTTCTGAGATTAGGATAAGTTGATCTAACAGCATTAAAGGTGATGCCTGTGGTTGTCCTCCAGTAAAGTTGATCATGAAAAGGCTGGTTAGCACATCGAGCTGGTTCAGGCATCTGTGTAATGGGGAAAAGGGCATTTGTTTGTGCAGTTGAGTCCTGTCCCCCGAACATCTGTGACTACACTCAACCGACTCCTCATCATTCAGCATAGTTTCACTTCTGCAGAGTTTTTCTAGAAATTGTAACTTCTCATAACCTCATCTTCATTTGATAGTATGATATGGAGAATAAATTACAGGAGAAAATAATTGAATTAAAAAGCACATATGTATGGACAGTCACATTTTATAAAAAGTATTTATCCTAAAGGAGGTTCTTTCTCTTTTATTGCACTCTATGAACAAGTACAATGAAATTAGGGTCCAGGGAGAAGTAAGGGTCATTTTGTTTTTATATATGTATTTCATATACAAAAAGAATATATTCTAATTAAGTATTCAAACAGTACAAAATTCTATCAAGTAAAAATGAAACCTCCTTCACACCTTCCCTAATCTCATTTTTATTCTCACGGATAGCCACCCAGTAAAAGTTTGATGTAGATACTTCTAGACATTTTTCTGCGCTTTTACAAACACACACACACACAATATATTTGTATGTACACATATGCATTTATATATACTCTCTCACTGACATACCCAGCATCTAGAAAATCTTTCCGTATTAGTCTATATCTCATTCCTTTGAACGGCTCTGGCATTTCTTAGATAATATATCAAAAATTTACTGAACAATTATACTATTAATGGACATTTATGTAGTTTTCAGTCTCTCTTTTTTGTTTTAGTTTTTGTTTTTGAGTTGGAGTCTCACGTTGTTGCCCAGGCTGGAGTGCAGTGCAAGCAATCCTCCCTGCCATGACCTCCAAAGTACTGGGATTACAGACTTGAGCCATGTGCCTGGCCTCTCTATTCTATAATATAGCATTTTGATGTAAAAAATAGGCCAAGAAAGCATTTAATCTCTTTCGACTGGGCTCGGTGAGTCAGCCTGTAGTCCCAACACTTTGGGAGGCCGAGGCGAGTGGATTGCCTGAGCCTGTGTGTGTGTTTGAGAACAGCCCGGGCAACTTGGTGAGCCCTCGTCTCTACAATAAATGAAAAAATTAGCCAGGCATCATAACGCGCATCATAGTTCCAGCTCCTTGGAAGACTGAGGTGGAAGCATCGCTGAGCCCAGCAGGTTGACACTGGGTGGCCGTGAGTGTGCCACTGCACTCCAGCTTGGGCGACACAGTGAGACTCCAACTCAGAAGCAAAATGAGGTTCATAAGAAAATTGAGTGAGTATAGTAGAGTCTAATTTTCTCAGCTTGCCTTTCCCGACATGGAAACTTCAACATCCTAACAAGCTTCGTTGAGAACGGTGGCGTCGCAGGACCGTTTGCCATGTGTGGAGTAGACCCTTATTTTATGTGTGTGCTGGGTAGAAGATAGGAGTCCCTAGACTTCTCAGTCTCATTTACCTAAAACTTTGCCTCTGTAACACAGAGCTGTGAAGAACGATAATTGATGTATCTCTTGACTGAAGACAGGAGAAAAAGAGAGACTTATTTTCTTGGCTATACCTGCCTGGAGGGGAGTTTCTATCATGCTGAGCTGGAAGTGGAAGGGAGAGTAAATTGTGTTCAACTACTACATATTCTAGCTGCTTTTCCCTTCTGATGTTTAGTAGATGAAATGGGTACATTTTTTCATTTGTTGTTGCCTTTAGGGCAGTTTCTAATTTCCCTCTACATACATGTGCCTGTGTACATGTATTTATTTAATAATTTAAATCAGCTATGGTTGTTTAACTGAGGAGTAGTTTAGAAAGTTCTTCATGCTATCATTCTGGAGATGAACTTGAAATATGATATGTGATTAAATATATACAATCATTGAAAATCTCCATATGAAAGTATCAAACATACATATATACATACACACATCCGTGCCAAGATTTGCATCTGGTTCATGCAAATTTTCCAATAAGAAATCATTAGCCACTCTTCCAATGGAAATATGATATTCTATTCTTTTTGAGATAATTTTTCAAGTAAAACTTTTCTAGGAGGTGTCACTCTCATGAACATTTGGCAAAAATTCATCAAATTATATACATAAATGACTCTTTAGCAGTATTTATTTAAATACAAAGAGTTAAATCTATTTGTTTACTGAGATTATTTTATCTATATTTATATTTGCTTTAATAGTAATTTAAGTACAATACAAATCATCCATAAAGTACCTCTAATTGGTT